AATCAAGGGTAAACTCAAAGGTACGTTGCAACTCCATGGAGAATTCTTGTGTCCCTGGCGAACCCATGACAGAACCAAAGTATACAACTTTTATTCAAGAAATTAGGGGATGGAAATTCATCTCTTCCATCACTTTTTTGATGGAGAAGCTTGGAATCACGTATTCAATCCCAACTGATTGAATAATTAAAAGTCAAACAGAACAAAGCTAGATGAAGCTTTTGGTCATTATTGAGATTTAAAGCGTATTGGCATTGTTACTTGTTGATTGGACAATGGACATATGGCATAGATTTCCTTCGATGAAAGTGGGAATACTGAACTTACAAAATCAGGAGGAATATTGCAGTACAAGGGTGCATCAATTTGTCTCTTTAGAATGATGAACCTGCCTAATAATCAGCATTTCAAGCCCTCAATTTATTCTTCTTTCCGGGTTCTCCTTCAAAGTAGGGTCAAACTTTTCGAGGCATGTCAAAGGGGAATTGGATTGACCATGCTGGAAGTGACAGCTTGGATCCATAAGTTTTGTCATATCCACAAAGTCATACTATTTCACTATAGATTGTGTAAAAAAAGTATTGCTGAACGGTTCTTAGTGAAGGACCGAAAACTAGGATAAATGGAATTCTAGATGGCTCAAGTTGCAGGCTTGCAGCATCAATTTGTGAATCGATTATTGGATTGAGATTTAGTCCCAAATAATACACAACACGTATATACAATAATTAATGTACGTAGATAATGAGTCACCTTTATAATGAATTTTGATTTGAATTGTATAGTATATGAGAAAATACCATCTGGCCCAATCAACATATGTTTGTTAAAGGGTTATATCAGCTTAATCTCTGCTTAATTGTCAGTAGCACAATCTAAAATTCACCTAGATATCCAAAGGTAAATCATTTCAGACTTAAGTCTGTATGTCACATCTTTATTGTGCCAGAAAAAGAGAAGAAATGGAATTCGGAGACACTGTCCAAAATCAAGATTATATCTTCAGGCAAGTTTACAGTAACAAATTACTAGACTATCCTAAATCCTAAGCCAATAATTTTGTTTAAGATTGAGTCTCGAAATCTTTCACCGACTTCAGATTCAAAACAAAGTTAAATTCCCAGGCCAAGAGCTTTGCAGCCCGATTTTGCCAACTTATTATTGCCTTGCCCTTTCTGTATTCCTAATTCCCCAGAAATATGATTGGTCCCTCTACAAATGGGAATATATTCCACCATGTCATATGGTAACAAGTGGATAAAATGTGTACGTAGGTCAGCCGAATAGAGAAATAAGAAAGAGATACAATTGCTGAACATGTTTCAATTCCTATAGGACGACTAATGGAGAACCACCATGCATGCTACTTTTGGTAATGATATTTTTAACTCCTTATTGCCTATAAATAGCCATCTGATACTTCAGCATTGGTAAGCAGAAATGCATTGCTCAAATGGGGTGGAAGAGATGTCTTGAATGGTCATCAAGAGTCTTGTTAGGTAGCCAAGGATGACTTGCCTAAATCCACTCAAGGGTTCAATGCCCTTTTTTTCTTGTTAGTATATACTTCTCAATCTCACTGTTTTAGCTGTGCCCCTCTGAATCCAAGTGTAGGATCCAATGATTGAATTAGGAGCCCTAAGCTTGTTTCTAGGCGTCATCCTTTGGCTATCCTGACTGGCTCTTATTGATCATGCTCGACTTTCTCTTCCAAATTGGCACAATTTAAGTATCATCAACCTGCACCATCTTATGTGAATTCGGTTTTCATTAATCAACTTCTCACTTTTCATTTTATTGTTTTACCTAATGTCTTTCAATCTGTAGAGAAATTGAAGCGTTATGAATGTCAACATTTCACCATTAATTTCACAATATCATGTATCACTAGAATCAAAGTGTGCTAAATTGGTACAACTCCACGAGTATAGATACCAGAACTTTTTCAGTCGCCCAGTAGAAGAGATAATTGGGGGCTGCCTACCATTTTTTTTTTTTTTTTTTGGTCATTTTCCTGGGCAACCGTTATATCTGCATTAAGCAATCGTCCCTCACGTAAAGTAGAATATGGACAATGCATGCATGATATAGTGGTTTCTTAATTATCCATGATTAATAGGTATATATCTGCATTAATAAGCCATGATTAGTAGGGTTGAGCCACATAATTAACTCAGTAAACAAGTTTGGCATAAAGAAATTGTTTTTTTGAAGAATACTATTATCACCCATGTATATTAGTTGGTACATATTTAGTTTTCTAGTACCTGAATACATAAACAATTTGCTTTTTTTCCATTCCTCTTGTCTTGTTTTTGTAAAAGTAAGCAATCGCTTTTCATTGCTCTAGATTGCATTCTTTAGCTAAACTGGGTTGTATACAAGGGTGAGCTATCATTCCAGTTCGGGTTGGGAAGGGTGTGGGGAGAGGTGGGAATTCAAAAAAAAAAAAAAAAGAAGAAAAAAAAGGAACTAACATTCATTAATTTTCTTTTGTTAATTTCAAATATGTAATGCGATTAATGCACTTAATTTGCTTATAAAGGGAAATTTGCCCAAAGCATTTTGATGTTATTTTACATATTGATCACCCCTGTCTTTGCTTATTTAACTCGATCTTAGCTTCAACTTTCTACCATGGTGAATTTCTTGTTTTTTCCCTCAACTTTATATGACAGTCTTTTTAGTTTAATTTCCATCTACTGGATTTTATGCAAACTATCCCTAGTTGAGACTTCCATACTCTTTTTATGGTTGATTTTTTTTTTTTTTTAATAAAGATTCCAAGCCAATACGGACTTGTCGGACCAAAAGCTCCTTGACTGGGCCCTAGAAAGGATAGCATTGGAATGGCGGAATATGACCAAAGTAGAATAATTCTGCATGGGCTTCCATACATGAATTTCCATTCATAAGCATTTCGAGAAATTTTTTTTAATTATTAAGGCTATACTGTTATTTCCTGAATAAGATTTACCCGTGATAACAAGGTATTTGATTCTTGAATAACCTGATAAAATTGAAGTTTGAAAACTGAAATATGAAATCTAAAGTGTGAATCGATTAAGTTATTGAATTGTTAAATATCAAATTTAATACATTTGAACGCATACCACATTCAGTGATAAGTGAATAGGTTATCACTTAATTTTGAGAGCATGTTTTGCCTAGAAAATTCAATGTCACTTAATTAATTCAGATGTTCAATATTTTGTTATCAAACGGTCTGAATATGTTAAGTTCTGAATCCAGTAAATTTAAGTACTGAATTGGATTATCCAACAGGTCCTTAAACTATAATTGAGCTTGTAATTCTCTCGGATAGAAACAAAAGAAGGACTACCTTCAACAAAGTTCTCGGAAGAAGCAAAGTTCAACTAGTCCAGAGACGTTTCAAGTCTATATATTTCCATTTATCTTTAAGCGGAAAAAATGCCTTATTCTTATCTACTATCACTTATTGGTTTTGAACTTTCACGATCCAAAGTATTTTTAACCTTTAGCCGTCGAGCTTGAAAATTGTATTGAAGTCAAATTCAGTTATTAATCTTTTTTTAATAGAGAGGTTAAACCTTATATGGAAAGGGAAATGAGAGGGTGTTAGAGTCGAGTAAGAGATTTCACAGTCATTTGATTACTGTAACTATCGAACAACGTCTTAGGGGTAATAACTGATTTATTATTTTTGAAGATGTTAATTACACCAGCTCTTAAAACGAAATTTAACATAATCCAAGGAGTTTGACAAGTATAATTATCCATTTTTCGCTAATTGATCGCGTTGGAAATGTGCTTGACTAATTTATTAAAGATGCACTCGCCTAAACATGGCTATCAGTACGTAACTCAGTTCCTGTCCAAGTCAAATTTCCTAATTATGGAAAAAAATTCTCGAATACAAAATTCAATAACCATTCTCTAAATTCCTTCAATCAATAGCTTTTCTGTTAATTTATCTTTTCCTTTCCTTGCAAAAGGTAGTGGTATGGCATCTCGTACCTACCTACGAACAAAAAACAAGAACATAACCCCCTGTACTATGTTAATTATTTCTTGTTCACCAATTATGCCTACGTAATCTTCCTGTCTCGTTGATGAGGGAAATCACCTTGTTCTGGTCCAACCATAGCCCATCTCCATGAGACCTGTTCAGCAATCCAACCGAAAGGCAAGCTCTATATGACCTAAAGAGAGCATCAAGTACCTCAACCATGCCCAACTCATTTCGGATAATTTTGTTCAGGCGAGTGTTTTTTTTTTTTTTTTTTCGATAACGGCACATCTAGTCTAATCTACTCCTACTCTCACTCTAACTTACTCTAGGGGGTGGCCCAACTAAATCGAGAAAATCAATGAGAACTGAACCACTATCAGATCATACGGGTGCACCACGCACCCGTATAGATTTAGAAGAAGTCACGTATATAGTTGCACATTGATAGGAGGTAAGGTAAGATTTAAACCATTGACCTCTTATCCCACAATATAGTGGCACAGGTGAGTTCTTTTTTGGATGAGACCAAAATTTGCAAGCCAAAGAGACTTATTAATAATAATTTGGTATGTATGACCAGTAATTTGCTGGATATCAGTCCACGGGTAACTTTTTCCCACCTCTGCACGACATTTTAACCAATTTAATTACCATGAAAGATTTACTACTAAAGAACACCAGGCTTAGCTCTTGCATGGACTTAAGATTCAGCACAAGTTGGATTGATCTTGTGGCTTTTAGACCCTATTTTTCCAATCTCAAATCCAGATATGGACTGGGTATGATTGGTCCCTACCGCTTAGTGGAATCTATTCCCTCATGCATAATTGGCTGATAGCATTAATGTCAACTGTGGTACGAGGTCTGAAAGCAAAGAATATGCTGAAAATGTGTCAATAATTATGGGGCCAAGTTAACTCCATATGCGTGCGGCATTTCGGATCTAATCTCTTTTCCTCCTCTCCCCTATATATAGCCAGTTGTATTGTGCTGCTACTTTAAGCATAAGTGCAGTGCTTGAAATGAGAGGGAGAGAGGTCTTGTATGGAGATAAAGAGTCTTGTTTGATAGCCAAGGATGACCTGCCTAAATCCACTCGAGGGTTTGCCTTCTTCAAATGATTTTTCTTTTCTTTTCTTTTTTTTTGGGGTAAATTTTAGTCTATATCTTCACAAACATTTGGATATGTGATAAGGTTGCATTTTAGTACAAAATTGTGTATAAAACATGTTTTAGTACTTTAGCAGTCTTACAAGCCGAATGTAACATAATTGACTTAAGCCAAATGTAACAAAAACGATTGGTTAGGAGTCCTAAGGTTATTTTTAGGCAGGTCATCCAAGGCTTCAGATTGGCTCTTATCAATCATGCTAGACTTTCTCTTCCATGTTTGGGAAGACAATCTTGGTGAAACAGAAGGCTTGGAGTTGTACAGAGGTCTTGTTTTTCTGTTTGTTTAAGAAACAAATTTTGGATGTTGAAGTTGCTGTTTTCACAAAAATGCTTATGAAGGTACACAAACGTTTATGTGTTTTTGCGCCTGTGTGTGTTGAGAGAGAGAACATATAAATACAACAACTTATGTTTTTTTTTTTGAGTAATATAACAATTTATGTTATATTTGGAGCATTAGTGATGTCTAATATTATTCATTTGATGCGCAATTTTTGCTGCAAAAATTCTTCATTGAGCAAAATGCTTGTAATTAAGAATTTTTCGTAATAAAATTTCAAGTTAGCAATTTTACACGGTAAAAAGTTGCAATTTTTCCTAACATTTGCCAGCAAAATGTTGTATAATAGAGGTTCAACTCTTTTTTTAACTACCAAACATCTGATCGAACTTAATTGAAAGGTGGGATTGATAGAGAATGTGCAGTTGTGAAGAGCTTCAAGCAAATGTTCTTTGAAGAAGAAAGGAGCCAGCCAAGTGACTCCTTGAACCAGTGGCTTCATTAGGTTCCAAAAGCTCAAAATCCCTTTTTTTTTTTGGGGAAAAAAAAGAAAAAAACCAAAAAAAAAAAGAGTGTATATCCAGTCCAACGCTGGTTTAGATTGCTCATCCGGTTCTTGACTAGTTCATCGACGATCTTGGTTGAAATCACTACTTTTAGGCCACATCTGGGACCTAGTTACTGCAGAATTGGCCAAATTTGTCCGACATCAACAACACTGCTTGAAGTTCTGTGCCTTCATCTTTCACTTTCTTCGACTCTTAACTGAAAGATAGGAGATATGGATATATGTAAACAAATCCTTATTAAACGAATATTGTAATATTAGTTGGTTAGGGAGCCATCGATCACACTAGCTAGCTTGACGGGGAAAAAACAAAGAAATCATTTGAACATCATTACGTTTCTGTCATCAATTATTGCCCTTCTTATTCTTAACCAACCTGCGAGTTCATTTGATATTAGTATTTTCATTTCAACTGTTATGGTAGAATCTTACAATTTTTTTTTTTTTGGGTAAAAAAGAAAAAGAAGCAATTGTTAAGTGCACATAACAAAATTAACTTTGAAGCTCATGGTTCTATAATTTCTCGAAATTAAAAGCTGTCCTAAATACGTTGAAAATATACCACCAACTCACTTCATCAAGATGGAAACTCCACAGCTCTTTAGATGTGTTCTTGCTGCTTTTATAGAGAAGTAATTAAACTTAACAGAATCGCAGCCATGCAAAAAATATATGGCTATGCTTTTGGCTATCAGCTCAACCATTCACATATCTAATAGTCACAGGCATTATTTTTTCCAACTTTTTTGGGAAGATAGAACATTAGGAATTGAGGTTGTGAAATTCTACCTCAAGAACCAGACATCCAACTACTGAATTATCAGCCCAAGCATTGATCAAAACTGCATTATCTAGGGTGCAAATTTGTGGCTACTAGATGTAGACACACACACATATAAACACACACAAAACAGCTTCGATTTTTGCATTAGTACGTACGTCTAAATGTACCCGCCTAAGGTATTAATATGAGGATGATCATACATATCAGAATTAACATGTTTCTGTGGTTTCACATATTAAAAGTTAGACATTTTTTTTGTCCCTTTTCCAGGTATTGCAAGAATGTTAAAATCACTTATGTAATAACTCATTTTTGGCGGATGATGTAACACTGATTTTGGGTTTTCACAAGTGCATGCACTTTATTTTGTTTCCAAGTTTAGACTGAACTTCCAACACTACCCTCCGAATGGCATATTAATATTTTAGAGAAAATAAACATTTTGATAACAATTGAAAATGGGATAACATAACGACGCTATGTAAAACTTGAGGAGAGGTCGTTCTATATTTGTATTAATAAATGTCAGAGAGAGTCACTAAAATTTTGCATCACATGGTATCCATCCTTATTCATTTGCACTTGATTTTTATCTCTTTAGCCGATAATTTTCAGAGCAGATTAGTGCTAGATTTTAGTTCTTGAATGTTCTGCATCAGCTTCCATGTCCATTCGAGCCCACGAGAACATCTTTGTTGGCAAAAACAGCTAATGACAAAGTGCAAAGCCAAGAGTTAGATGCTTGAAAATGAAGCAAAATAATGCTAAGCAAAGTTTGCTTGGTACTTGGAGCATTAACATTTTTATTCAAGTGGTCATTTGTGATGGAATTCGATTGCTTGGGGAATATTAATCAGCATGAGAATCAAATTTCGACTGTCAGAGCAGAAGTGTAGCAAGAAGTACACAGATCAGAAAGTCAACCATCCGTACATGCATGGGCTCTAACTGGGATGATGGTGGCTTTATGGATAAGAATATAAGATTGAACAATCAAAAGGAAAAAAAAAACCCCCAACAGTTTGTTATTTTGTTTCTGTTTTTTTTTATAAGATTGTTATGACACAATATTTAATGAAATGACTATGGATACTTACAACACAATGATATGACAAACTATTCCGCTAATAATGTCAAAAATACTAACGTATAACTATATTAAACGAAGATTTGAACTCGCATACAGTCATTTTTCTTCCTCCAATTGTTGGAATACTACAATCCACAAATCGTGCGACTGCATCAATATACATATACAGTGCATTGCAACTTAAGACTGTGTGAGACTAACATTAAGGTAATGTGGTACTGCAACTTATCCTAATGAGAGTTCAGACTGGGATCAGTCAACCAGTTATATTCAAAAGGGAGTAGCCATATCCGAACGTTCAATGAAATTTAGAAATTTTGAGTGATTAATTTCCCAATTAACAGTGACAAAAAAAATGGGGCATAAATGCGCAAAAATGGGATTCAGTACAAGTTGGGATAAACATGCTGCTTTTCCACCTCGTCTTCCCAATCTCATTTCACAATTTGGATATGGTTCTCCCCTTAAACAATGGGGAATATATTCATCTCAAGCAAATGGGGATAAAAAATCACAAGATAGAATTTTGGGGTTCACAGTGTCAAGAAAGCTCCTTACGCGGATCTAATCTTTTTGCCTCCTTATTGCCTATAAATAGCCACATTTATCTTAGCATTATTTCTATCTTCTAAGCATCGATCAATAGCAGGATTTAGAACTAGAGGAAGGGAGGTCTTGTATGAAGATAAAGAATCTCGTGGGTTAGCCAAGGATGACCTGCCTAAGTCCACTCGGCTCAGAATGTGTTACAATATTTCTTGCATTTCGATCGTGGTGGCTAACAATTACCTTTAAAAAAAAAAAAAAAAGTGGTTCTTCGGCAGCATCCTTGGTTGACCTGACTGACTCTTGTCAATCATCCTAGACCTTCTCTTCCAACTTTAATTCGAACGGCGGTCGAAGTCGGTCGGAACGATGCGGAAGAAGGTTTTCTGGATGTCATTAATCTTTATCATGAACTAGCCCGATGCTGAATGCAGAATTCTTTTTATTCTTTCTTCTTTTTTTTTTTTTTTTTATCTAATTGTATAGTACTATGTATAATTTCATGGTTACGTGTATATATGAATTCTTCTATTTATGAGAATATAAACATATGGGATACATAAATCGCATAAACCGCAATGAAGTTATGGAAATTACAATTGCCTCCATCTCCCATAAGGTTTTGAGTCTGCCACTATTTGTATGTTTCAAGAAATTCCGTTCGGTTTTGATAATAGCTTTTAAGCCAATTAATGCTTAAACTGAAATTCCAAGTTAGTTTGAAGATTAATGTAGCAAGCTTGAACACTAAACTCTTATGAGACTTTTTTATTTATGAGACAAAAGTAGAACTTATAAAATAACGCTAACGGTTAATATGTAGCTTTTGAAAATACAATGAGAAGAATGAACACATTATTATAGTAGCTATCAAAAAATTTAGAAATTTACTTCACTATGGTGTACACAAAGTTTTTCTTTTTAACGTTATTTACATTATTCAAAATTTTAATTATTTTTAGATGCATGGTATTGTCCACTGTTAACGTTTGTTATGTTTGCCTTAACATAACAAACATATAAACTTTAAAGCACACATACACATACATATACATATATGCATATACATATATGCATATGCATATATATATATATATGTATATATATATTGTATACACACATATTTGTACACACACACACACACTCTCTCTCTCTCTCCCCCTAACCAAGCAGAATTTCAAGCAAGAAATCTGTTTACAATGAATACAATATATATATAGGAAAGCAAAGATATATATATTATATTGTAAAAGATATATATAGGAAAGCAAAGATATATATATTTACAAAGAAATAACTCACAGACACTACAAAAAAAAAAAAAAAAAAGGAAAGCAAAGATAATGTCGTGAGGCAATAGTAGAATGTTTGCGTAGACAAATTTTCAGTAGTGAATTGATTTTGGAAATGTTTTAAAAAAATTAGAAACATCATAGAATTGAACGTTAGACACATTTTCTGAACATTTCGGAGTTTGTACACAAATCTCGTGCCAGAAAGAAAAAAGCTGATAAATTGACTGAATCACTAAAAGAGAAAAAAAATTTGGAGTTAAATTGTAAGTAAATGCTCAATTAACAAGGAATTATTTGTACCTTGTACGTTTTTAAACTTCACTGTGTAGGTTAAACCCAAAATTTCTTGGAATATATTGAGAGAATTTTCTTCGATTGTAAACTTGATTTCATGTCAGCTGCGATATTCTAGAAGCATGTCCTAGTGGATGGGTACACCTCTAATTTAATTTCTTATTTTGCATTGGTTCTCAATTTGGTCCAAAAAGTAGTCCAAATGTCAAAAATATTGGGGCCGAAACCTTGCAAAAGAACCCCCAAATTCACGCATTACACGACACAGAGCATGGTGATTAAAGTTTTTTCTCATATTAAATATTAGAACTATTTTCCAAGAAATGGAAGATCAAATTCCAAGTTCGCATTTTTCACAAATTTTGTCATTTGTGTTTGAAGATAGAAAGAGACAAAAAAAAAATTGTGAATGAAGACTATTCATAATGTAGCTGGCATTTTCCTCTGGGTCTATCTAACGAATACCCAATAGATGGACTTCAGGTGTTCATAGTTTAGAATAGTAATGTTAATTAGAAAAAAAGTATATAAATATAAGATAATATAATAACTGTTAGTATGTGAATTCATATCATAAATTAGATGTGATCTAAGTGTACTATTCAGTGTTCATTGGGCACCTGTAAAAAAAGCCTTTTCCTCTACCTAAAAAATGGATAATATTGCAAGTACTTCAAAGCCCAATAGACCCCATATGCATGCCATTATATACACTTGAACCTTTTATATTCAGAAGAGCATTAATTATGTTGATTTACCAAAAAAAAAAAAAAGAATTCAATTGTACTTTTCCTTTTAATGAGCCAAGTGAAGGGTTGACAATCTAGATATCGTGTTGAGTCGCAAAGATGCTTTTCTCCTATCTTCGCACCAAAGAATTGAATTCTAAAAGTCAAATAGGAGAAAAAAGGAACGGGAAAAAAAAAGGAATGTACATAATTGAGAGCATTGACATCGTTTCAAAGTGAAGCTACTTACACATGTGGCATATATTGCCGTAATACTGGAATATATTGATTGAGAGTTCCTAAAGAGAATTGTGATGGAGAGGGAGTCAACCTGTTTCACTTGGCCCAAATTTTCTCACTTGTGTACTTCTATTCCTCAAACGTGCTTCTTAGTTTATATTCTCAAATTTGTTCTCTATCTGATTCTTTCCCAAACAAAGGCCAAAATTCTCAAGGGTATGGTATTGTGAGATGTGACACAAATGGAAATAGATATGCTTAAGGCTCATATGAAAGACACTAGACAGTGTGGTCTAAGTATCAAAAAACCACCCATCCCTCCACTTGTAGATCGAAAAATTCTTTTTCTCGCA